ACAGAAGCAGAGCCCCCCCCCCCCCCCCCCCCAAAAAAAATGTGAGGGATTTCATACCATTTCTATGTCAACGTAAAACTAAAAAAAAAAGCATTTGTCTACAGACTCACTTTAATTAAGAGATTATCCTTCACTCAACAAACTCGGATTAGTAAGGCATTCCAACACCTAATGCACTTAATGAATGGAGCCTGAGAAAGGTATATATATATATAATGGGTGAATATGCCGATTTAGAATGAAGATGCCAAGAAATTAGAGACACCCAGTAGGTGGACTGTGTTTCCTACATTAAAAGCAGTTATGCCGATCTAAAACAAGAGATCTGACTTCACTTGCATTTTCATTACAGGTCACCGATTCCAAAAATACTGAATCCAGAGACAGCCAAGCAACTAATATTTTCAGAAGATAAGTAATTACAGCTTTTCTTTCATGGTGGGCTGTATGGTAAATGCAAAATGTTCACGATTGCCTGAAACAGTCCAAAAGTAGACCTTCTCCAGTATCCACACTGGAGAGAAGACCTGGTGTCAACACACGGATTTCGAAGGCTCAATTGAACTTTCAGTTTGAATCCACTAAATGTGTTCTAGGTACATCAAAGCAAAAGCTGCAACGTCTTACAGTTTGTGATGTTTAGACAGACACGGCCTAAGCAGTAAAAGGCTGTCCCATGCCAACATTCTGTAGGGAAGGACACTTACCCTCCGTGTAGAAGCAGTGGTTACTCTGCAATGGCCAGGTCCACCCCCTGATGAGTCAGACACACAGCTCTGTAATCAGATATACATACAGCCTCGCCTGGAGAACGATAGGTTTGACTCGCTACAGGGTGCATCTGACCAATGCTGGGAGACCACTGCTTCCACAGAGCAAGGGTTCTTCTCTGCAGCAGGGACAGTTTTTTTTATTTGGGCTGTCTATTTACATGCAGCTATCAGGAAGCACATGTGTGTTGACAGAGCCACCCAAACACCAGGCATTCACTACTAGTTGTTATCTAGAATAGCAAGATACCAGATTAAAGCACAACCCAGATCCTCCCTTCTAGAAAGTACATGTGGGGTTAAGGTCTGGACTCTGTGGTGACCAATCCATGTGTGACAATGATGTCTCATGCCCCCTGAACCACTCTTTCACAATCTGAGCCCGATGAATCCTGGTATTGTCATCTTGGAATATGCCTAATGTGCCATCAGGGAAGAAAAAAAATCGATTGATAGAAATACCTGGTCATTCAGTATATTCAGGTAGGCAGCTGACCTCATTTTTTGGGGACATAATATTGCTGAACACAGACCTGACCAACTAAAGCAACCCCAGATCATAACACAACCCGAAATCCAGGTGGTGACTTCTTTTTTGGCCAGGCAGTGCATGTTTAATGGTCAAGTAAAGATTTTACTGAAATGAAGAAAAGAAAAATTATATGAAATTGACCAAAACATATCAGTTTCCCTTTAATGTGTCACACAGACACTGGCTGGGCGTCTGGGTCAGGATTGTGCTGACAGCATCGATCTCCCCGAGTCAGCTTTATGAGGGATGACATAGCAGTCCTGTGAAGTCACTCATTTGTACAACTGAACAGTACAGGCTTGCACCACGGCGCTGCAGTCTGTTTAATATTTGATGAAACTCCAGTCTGCTTGCTGGCTGCGGGGTGCCAGTACTAATGCTAAGAAGTTATGCTGTGCTGTCGTAATATCGGCACTAAATTGTAATTCCACCTGCGGCAAAAATAATCCACTTTAAATGAGGAAAATTTCAATGTGGTACAAAGGAAGGGACTCGGCTTAAAGGTGCACTCCAGATGAAAGTGAAAACTTTGTATTAGACATGAAACTTTAACCAAAAACCCTTCTTTAAAGTCACACTGAACTCAGGAGTTATACCTTGTGGAATTTTCTCTGTAGTTAAAGCGGACCTTTAACCCCTTTTTTACTAAAAATCAAATCAGCATGCCGTTTTGCACGGCCATATGAAAATCACATTACATTCATTTGTTAAACATTTTTGCTTTTACTTGCAATTACTGGTCAAGCGAGGCATTGGTGATGTAGCCCTGGCCATGTCAAGTTAGGCACTGGTGGTGTAGCCCTCGTCTGGTCAAGTGAGGCCCTGGTGATGTAGCCCTGGTCTGGTCAAGTGAGACACTGGTGCTGTAGCCCTGGCCTGGTCAAGTGAGGCACTGGTGGTGTAGCCCTGGCCTGGTCAAGTGAGGCACTGGTGGTGTAGCCCTGGCCTGGTCAAGTGAGGCACTGGTGGTGTAGCCCTGGCCTGGTCAAGTGAGGCACTGGTGGTGTAGCCCTAGCCTGGTCAATTGAGGCACTGGTGGTGTAGCCCTGGCCTGGTCAAGTGAGGCACTGGTGGTGTAGCCCTGGCCTCACAGATACATCCTGGTAAGGTTACATCACCAGTGCCTTCCTGGGAAATCTCATCTGTAAACTGCATAATCTTGCGAGATCTCAAATAACTTGCACTGTCACAGGTTCCAGGAGTCAGATCCAGAGATCCAGGAAGTAAAGGGAGATGGATGTATCTGCCATTAGTAAAAATGGCCACTGTGAGAAGAATGGGAGTAAGTGAAAAACGAGGTATGCAAAGAATAAAAAACCTGCAATTATCTATAAGTATCTGTCAGTAGATTGCCATTTCTAAAGGTGCTCTTGTTGTCATTTTGAACATAAGGATGACGTTCCTCTTTAAATGCCGTCTATGAAGGCGCACTAGTTTGCATTTCTTTTCACAGTGTAGCAGTGCTATATAAATAATTTATTGAGTACAATACATTAATAAAACACAATCATCCTCACAAATGGAATACTTGTGCTTCATTGTAAAGATTTCCGAGACTCACCGGTAATCAGTCCACCAATTGGCTTCAGGCTGGCAAACTGCTTGTCGTGTTTGGCCCGCTCCTCCGTAGTGATCGCCCACATATTTGGCCCACCTGTAAACAAAGATCTGAAAGTTACCAGCAGTTCCTGTGCGTTGAATCACATCTGTATTGGGTACGAGTCTGCCACCAGCCCTATTACCACCGCCTGTCACCTGCTCGGCAGCAGTACAATTATAACCAGCGCTCACAAGACTTAAAAAGGACAATAGGACGGAAGTGACACACGGTTACAGAAGCTGCCTGCAGCCAAGTCTGTTTTCTATGTGGTTCTGCAACTTCCTGCAGCTGGGAGCTCTCGTTACCCGCTGTAGACAAGAACAACCACAGGGCATGCTGGGACATGTAGTTCTATGATGGACAGAGAGTCACAGATTGTCTAAGGCTACTATCGCCATTTAGGAGGCAAGTTAAAAAGGTATACTCCTGCCAAAATAAAATAAAAAACATGCCCTGAAATGCATACAGGAAACAGCCCCTTGGTACTGCAAAATACCCTCGCAGTGGACCCCCTCACAATGCAAAGATAAGTCTAGGAGTAGAGGAATAGGGAGTAGCACTTAACTTATTTCTTACTCCTGTAGGCTTACGACATCTGTGCAACCAATTCCCTGAAGCTCCCCTCTAAGGCCATACAGGCCATGGTCGCAAGTTTGCCTTGTTCACATACAAATGTAGGGCCACTGGCCCTGTATTGTATGTGATGACAGCAAGGGACCGTCCCCAGCCCAGAGCATCAGGGAGAAGAGGAGAGCACTGGACCTGGATTTAAGGTAAGTAATACAGAGTGACTCATCATCTCCCCCCTAGAGTTAACAAGCCTTTAATTCTTGTAGTGCAGGGAAAAGTGAAGGGTGGGCACCGCAACAGTATTTTTTTTTCCAACCCGGACAATTTTAAACAAGCGAAATGAAAGGACAGTAGCCCAACCGGACAGCAGAAATAGTAACTAGACATTTTCTAAACAAATCCAGTCCGACTATCATTTTCCCCAAATAGGCTTGCCCCAGGAGGTATCTTTACCCCTTAAGCTGATGAGCACCCCCTAACCCCCCCCCCTCCCCCCCATCTGATCCTACCTATGCATATTTGAATAGTAGTTCATAAGTGCACAGCCACTTGCCATCCAATGTTCATAGGCAACGTCTGGGCTGGTATACATGGGCATTTGTGTTTTTCTGCTGCCAGCAATGTATGAAACATTGGCATGCCTCTAGAGTCATTCAATAAGATGAAGCCTTTATTGCAGTCACAATAAAGTGTCAAAGTCACAATAAAGGACACATTCTATTGAAATAGAGGTATATGGATATTGAGTTCATGACTTCACGTTTGTTGGCCAATGTTTTCCCCATCCCAGCTACAAGCCAAGGACCCAGAGGTGATAGATAATGGGCATAAACATAGAGTGGAGAGACAGCTCAACCTTTTTACGACTGAGTGGCCCATGAGCTGTAGATAAGATAAGATATTTATTTCAGGGGTTTCCCAACATCTATAACATATTTTAAGGGTTCCCTAGGAGTAAAAAGGTTACGTAAGGCTGCATTAGAGCCTCTTTGCAGGTGGATTTTGAAAATCTATTACAACATTCTGCCCGTTGTCCATCACCTCTGGGTCTTTGGCTTGTAGCTGGGATGGGGAAAACATTGGCCAACAAACGTGAAAGCATATATAATAAAATGTATGAGACCAAACTGCACGTTTTTGGTCTCATAAATTTCAATAGGACTTCCTAGAGAATGCGTTTTCTGTGTGATATTTTTCCCCTAAAAACCATCTCCTCCTCCTAGTAACAAGCTTTTTATTGGATAAAACAAAAAGGCTCAAGCTTGAAATGGCATGAAAAACACAGACACAAAAAAAAAAATATGCTAAAACACCAGCTTCAAAACTGTCTGGAAATGCTCTGGTAAAAGTGTAAATGGGGGTAAAGAGACTTGCTGCATTTTTTCTGCACCTGATGTCAGTGCTGGTCACTGCATTGTTGCTGAGCCACAGTGAACACAAATGAATGCATTGTCACTGTGATGTTTTAATAAAGTTTAAACAAAAGTAAAAAAAGAAAATGTAAACAGTGCCATGCTTTGCAACAACGCAAGGTATCATTGGCCACCACAGGCTCACATTGGACACCAGGCCACACGTGAAATGGTTTGTTTTGGTGTGCAGGCTGGTGTGAACGAGCCCTAACAGAGCATCGGTGGAATATGCCATTTCCTCTCTTCATTTTATCTTCTATTCCTTATAATCCCTCAAACATGTTCCTTTTTTTATCCTTCTGCTCCTTTTTCTCCACATTGCTGCCAGCCCTGCTGTGTTGACAGACTGAGATTCCCAAACTGAGTGTTCCCAGCATTCGGGAGAACTCCTGTCAACACAATTCCTCTTCCCTCCCGTCCTGCTCCTTCTCCAATGCATTTTCTTTCTTCTTTATGGTGCTGCCAAACCAAAATGGCTCCCATTCACAGGAGGAAGTCTTGTCAGCACAACCTCTCTTCCCCGTCCTGCTCCCTCTGTCTTCATTGCTGCTAGATCTCATTCCGCTTGCACTTTCGACAGTCTGAGTTTGCAGTTGCACATGACAGTAGGGTGAACTCTGGTCAATACAGTTGGAATCTCATACCCACTACTTCCCCCTGGCCCCATCCATCCCAACACTGGTGTTCCTTGGCATCCTGCATGGGGGATAGTTTACGCACCCCTGGGTGGCTAGGAATCAACTGCAATGGTGGAGGTGGTGGAGCCCCTGAGAAGCTCACAGACCCATAGGGGTTCTAAACCCACAAACAAAAATGTAATATATTGCAGCTTACCAGTCAGATACGGTGGCTGCATTTGTTCTTCTGGCTTTATTTCCTTTTTTGTTTGCCTATGAATCCTGCGCATAACAAACTTCTTGTCCTAGGGTGGCTACACTCACTAGCTCCACTGTATCTACGAAGGAATCCATGGTGCACCCAGGCTGGACAAACATGTCTTTCTATCTTCATCTCCATTACATAGGGAGGAATTAGTAGTCGGATAGAAGTGACGTTTGAGACCGATCAGCTGTTCAAGGCAGATGATCTGTTCTCCTGCACATGCGCAGTGAGCCGATCTACCCTGGGACAGCTGACAAAGCGCTGGAATGCTTGACCTAATGCGCACTGGTCACACATTTCAACGTAGTTACAAACTTTGATAGAACGCCGGCTCTAAAAATGATTGGTAGAGTATTATTGTTTGGGCAGCTGCCTACAAAACAGGGTTCTCCCCAGATCCAGGTGTTCAGGAGATCCGTATGTAGAACAGGAGCACCAAACCCACATTTTAAGGGGTTGATCTACTAAAGGCATGTAGGCCGTTCACTTTGCAAGGAAAGTTTCCCCTAGCTTGGTGAAGGGGGTTTAAATTCACTTTGCAAAGAATACCAAATTACATGCAAGGAAAATGAAAGAAAAGTGCTTGCATATGATTGAATGATGGAGGTCAGAAGAGCTTCACCTCATTCCCTAAAAGAAGGGGAAACGTTCCTTGCAAAGTGAACAGCCTATTTGCCTTCCGTAAATCAACCTCTAAGCGTCCATAAAAATATTTGATTGATTCCACAATTGGCAGAAGGATGACAAAATACCCAATGTATTTTGGGGGGCCCAACAGCCCCCTTCATCAAGGTTACAAAAGATACAAATAATAAAATAAAGGTAGCATACATTTTTCATGACACCTTTCATGTGTACAACCATTATTTTATTCTTCGGATCTTTTTTGCTTTGATGAAGGGGAATTATTGGGCCACGAAACATGTTGGCTATCTGTTATCTTTCTGCCATTGGTAGAATCAACAAAACACATTTCTGGGCTCTTAGACCCCATTCACACTGAGCGGTTTGTTGCACGATTTCCGCTCATAAATCGCGCATTTTTCCGCACGATATCGCACCATGTAGCTTGTCCAATGCATTTCAATGGAGCTGTTCACATCTCACATGCAGCTCAATGTCGCCTGTAGCTCGTCGCTCGTACATGACCCCTTTTTCCCGCAGATGTCATGCGATTCGGCCCCAATAATCAATGGTGTCGCTCAAAGTCGCGCATTACCGGCGATATTGTACGACCTTATCGCGCTACAGAGGGGTAACTTTTGCATTGCAAAATGGAAGGAAAGAATTATGTCACATCAAGACCGCTGTTGATTGTTTACATCTCAATGTAGCAGCGACCAAGTCCCTCCCAAAAGTCGCGCTACGTAGCGCGCTAAAATGTGCATTGTCGCTCAATATCGCGCTTTGTAGCTCAATACCGCTCAGCACCGAATCGCGCAGAAAAACGTGCCATGTCACTCAGTGTGAATGGGGTCTTAAAGCAACCACATCTAAGGACTGGTAAACTGCAATGTATTTTTGGTCCTGAGTTCAGATACACTTTAACTGGAATATTGTTTACTTTCACCACAATACAGAAGAAATGGGATCAGCGGAGCTTTATAAACAGGCAAATCTGTGAAAATTGATCATTTTCCATGAGAGATGAAAAGAGCAAAATATCAATTTGCACCAGTTACAAACGGGCCCTATAGCACGAGCTCCCAGTGGCCTCCATGGGGATTAATCCACACATTATAAAACGCAGCATGAAAGGATATTTTCTATGCTGAATTCCACACTCCCACATTGGCAGAAAATCTCTGATTACACGATATAGCCGTACAGAATCTCAATAGTGTGGAGAGTGTTGGGAAATAATTAGCTTGTGGTTGTCTGTGCGTCTCACAATTTTACGCAACACTTCAATGACTTCAGACAGACAGCTGCTTGAAAGATGAAAATCAAAAGAGCTTTACTGAATATATGCAAGTGTAATGACTGAACTGCTCTTCTCCTGAGCCAATTCGACTTTTTATTACTCCTATGGCACTATAAGAAATCATAAGCTGAACTCTGGGAAGGGGGGGGCTTTATCCTTGCAGTGGGACCCCCTCTCTTCCGGCTCCTGTTGCCTAGGAGATAATGAATGAGGCGATATACTTACATTACTGCTCACTCCCCCGGGAGCTGGCCCTGTCCAACGTCCTGGGTGGTGGGCGGTCCCTCAGCAACCTCACTTAGAACGTAGGACTGCTAGTGTGTAGGTAAAGGCTCTTGGGAGGTGTAGTTCTGGGGACGTGTCTACATCAACAAGAACATAGCTCCCAGCAGCTGCCCCTGCAAGAACTTGGCCTGGAAATTATGTCACAGGGAGTAATAAACGCTGTATCTCACTACAGGGACAAAGGGCTAGGACATGCTCTAGAGGGGAAGATGGAGGTTTACAGATATGCCTGGACGTGCACTGTAAGGATGCTCTCCTTAAATTCAGGCAAACATATATAAATCAGGCATGTCCAATTTGATAAGGTGGGGCACCCAGGACTTGAAGCATCTCTGAATAACACAGGTTGACTAAGCATATAAAAATAACTTGAAATAATTTTTATATGTCAGCTGTGGAAAGGAATGGAGGTGGGGAGAGAAGACGGATCTTTGTATGTGTGTGAGCTAGGGATATTCGATATCGTGTACCGATATTTCTTTTCAGTACTCGCCAATACCGAATACTGATACCGGAAGTCCCATTAAGGAAGCCGGGCGGTGTAATAACTTGCCGCCCGGCTTCCTGATTAGCCGCGAAGCCATCTCCATGGTCCTTCGCCACCACTTGATGATGAAGCATGGAGATGGCTTTCTGACCAATCAGGAAGCCGGAGGGGGAGGTAATGACTCGACTTCCTGATTGGATAGCTTCCTGACCAATCAGGAAGCTGAGCGGCGAGTCATTACAAGTGACAGAGGGATGGTTAAGAAGAATGCAGTCATTGACAAGAGGCTGCAGTTCCACATACAACATAGGAGCACTGCAAATACTCTGGTAAATATTGCTGCAAAGTATGGTGCCAAATGCATATACCATATGTATGTTTTCTACATGGCATTAACAGTTCACTTAGAGGAGACCTGGATTAAAAAAAAACAAAACACATTTTGTGCTTTCTCTGTAATTCTTAGAGATTTTAGCTTCAGTATTTGGTGTGTAGGCAAGACTGCAGTAAGCTCAGACAGATAGAGTAGTTTGAACCAGTGAACACCATTGGATGCTCTTTGCAGAGGCTGCCTTATGAACTACAACTCAACGTCTGAACCAGGTAAACTTCATAATTGCTTGATGGCAGCAATGCATTGTGGGATATGTGGTCTTCAGAAATGGAGATTGCATCACATCAAGCATCAGGGGAAGAGACACAAAGCACACTGGGAATGCAGGAAGTTGGTGGAAGTGACGGGCAGACGGAAGGCAGCGCTCACTACATAAAAGGGATTTTTTCATGTAAGCTTTGATTGCATTATCAGAGACAGCTCTACTATGTATTCCTATTACAATTCTGATGTTATAAAGTCCCAGCATATCTTAGTCTGTTATAACTCCTTTAAGGATACTGGCAGCCATGCAGCTTTATCCTGTGGGTAGTGATGAGCCTGCACTTGCTGCAAACCCAGTTTGCCTGAGTTCCCCCAAGCCTGCTCAATACTCTGACTGCCACCCTTTCAGCCCAACCCAATCAGTTGCAGGCAGGCGCATTCCCCACCCTGCAGCTATTCGCTACAAAAGGGAAGGAGAAAGCCCGCCCCAACTGCCAGCACTGATTGGGTCAGGAGGAGGGGGTGGCAGTCAGAGTTTTGACCGGGCTTGGGCGAACTGGGTTGGCACCAAGACCCTACCAGTGGGCATTCGGATGCAGTGTCAGTATGAAAATGAGTGATTTTGTCAGGGTGGTTGCCAAATTTCCATCCTTGCAACCAATATTGCAACATAACTTTTGCACTTCCACAATATTTGGTAATATTAAAAGGTCTAGGTGTCACAGAATAAACTCCTGTGTGTTCCCTTCATCACCTCCCTGTATATCCCATCACCTGTTACACCGATCAGTCACATATACAGAACATATCTCATCACAAGCCCACAGCGGACACAGTGGTATGTCAGTGAGAGTGTGTCAAGTTGTACTCACCATTCAGGGCCGTGGGAAAGTGAGGCATGGTGTTCTGCAGCATGTCTTGTTAACTCCGGGCCATCTGCAAACACAACACACAAACACAGGCTTGTTAATAATGCAGCTGCCTGTATTCCAGAGCACGGGGGCCCTGCTGAGCACAGAGAGGCCGCTTCCTAATGACGGATTCTCTCTCTACAGGAAGACAATGAGAGGGTTGCCGGTGTCCGCTCTACACACACGCTCTGTCTTTGGAGGGGGCTGGGAGAGGTCACACCGCACTGCATGGCGGACGCCAAAAGGACCACTGGAACTTGTCTAACCCGATTTACTGATTTCCCTGCTAGGAAATGATTGATCCGAACCATCGTAAAGTGCAGCGGCATTGTGTGGTTTTACTCCACGATCAAGGAAAGGAAATCATATCACTTCTCTGGGGAGTTAAATACTCATACACTCGAGGTGACAGCTGGCCACTTGCTGTGAGATGCTCATATAATAACAGCAAGATATCAAACTACTTTGAGTTTACAATTCAAAAATGGAACATTAGGGAAAATATCTGCACTGGCCCAGTAAGTCCCCGATAACCTGTTAACCTGACTGTACGCAGCAGCCTGTTCTTCTCTATGGGAGTATGTGGCCGTACACTCACCCGAGCTGCACATCCGTGCGGGTGCAGGTGTCTACTCGTACGCAGGCAGGATGGATCCTGCCTGCGTCCGAGCATGGACACCCGCACAGATGTGCAGTTCGGGGGAGTGTACGGCGTCGTACGGCATACTCCCATAGAGAAGAACAGGCTGTTGTGTACAATCACACGCAGCACCTGTCCTTCCCGGGAGCGACCCGATACGGCCGCTCACACAGCACGGATCTGTACGGGCTGGCTCTTCACAGTGTAAATGAGGCCTTATAAATAGTCCAATAGACTCATTTTTGAGCTCTGATGGGGTATTGACAGCCATCTCAAACATTCAAAATCCTTTGTCCAGTTTGAATAAAGAATTTTAAAAAGCATTACAAATCATCACATTCAAAACAATTTATGTCCTTGTATGGCACCTTATGGTCAAAAAACTAAAATAAATCTGTATTTCTATAATTAATTTCTGTAAGTTCTATCCCGCTCCTAATAACAGGATCCATCTAGAAGTTTGTAAACCTACTTAATGACGATGCCCATACAGGCCCGGATTTCCCACAAGGCCACGGAGGCCCGGCCTCGGGGCGGCAGAGTGCCGAAATAGGATGGACTTCCTCAATGTACTGACACCATTTAGCTGTGGAGGTGCATTTCCTTGCATCACCACTCTCACAGAGCCTGCCTTCTAAACTACAACTCAACGTCTGAACAATGTAACATTATCATTGCTTGCTGGAAGCATTGCATTGTGGGCCATGTAGTCTTCAGAAATCAAGACTACATCCCTTCAAGCAGCAGGGTAAGAGACGCAAAGCACACTGGGAATCCAGGAAGACGGAAGGCAGCGCTCACTACATAAAAGGGATTCTTTTCAAGTAAGCTTTGATTGCATTATCAGAGACAGCTCTACTATGTATTCCTATTACAATGCTGATGTTATAACAGGAGAGGAGATGCTGGGACTTCAAACGTCCTTTAAGAGGATGTACATCGACCCCTTAGTGAAGACTATTCTGAATGTGCAATAATGCCTCTGTATCCTATCCCCAGCATATAAGCATTAACCCCTTATTGCCCAGTCTCCAGCTCAGGTGCAGAAGGTGATAACTATCAGATCAGTTCATCTTTTGACTCATAAATTGTGGTTATGGATCTTTCCATAATCTGCAAAAAAAGTTTATGGTCCTAGCTTGACAGAAGCAGGGAAGTGGTCCTGATAATGCATACAGGCACCCATTCACATAACAAATTATAAAGTAGCAGCATGGGAGCCAACCACTCCAACCTCCCAGTCCTATCCTGCACATATTTCCCCCATCATACCCTACATACTCCTCTCCTGCACATGCAGACCGCAGTCATACCCTTGCACTCCTCTACTACACATACTGTATGTGGTCATGACCACTGCGCTTTGCATCTGAACATACAGCCACCTGCCATGCTCTCTGCACTCCTCTTCTGCATATACTACTCTGTCTTACCCGCTGCACTCTTCTCCTCGACATACTGCCCACTGCCATGTCTTCCACGCTGCTGCAAATAATCTCCATGCCTCTCTCCTGCAAACACCTCCCCCATCAAACCCTCTGCCCTCCTCTCCCTGAGATACTGCCCACTGTCATACCCTCTATACTCCTGCACATACCTTCCCCTATCATACCCTCTGCCCTCCTCTCCCTGAGATACTGCCCACTGTCATACCCTCTATACTCCTGCACATACCTTCCCCTATCATACCCTCTGCCCTCCTCTCCCTGAGATACTGCCCACTGTCATACCCTCTATACTCCTGCACATACCTTCCCCTATCATACCCTCTGCACTCCTCTCCTGCACATACTGCCCACTGTCACTCCATTCACATTATTCCCCAGCATATATTGCCTGCAAGACATTTCTTTAGCATTGCTTGTTATATCCCCAACACTTTCTATTCTGGAATGGCCAAACTTTTCCTATTATTAACTAAACTGAAAAGAAGGTAAACCTAAGAACTAGACTGCAGATAATTGACGCTCAGCATCCTAAGGGAGCAATCCCTTGTAACAGGAGACAAGACGGAGCATGCCTAAACACACCAGAGGAGTTCATTACAAAGATTCCAGTGTTACACTTATTAGAGACACATCTAGAAAGCAGCTAGCGTTGCTCCCTCTACTCTCACCCTCACAGCTCCCAGTAACACACAAAGCTTCCGCGTGGCATGTATTACACTATACTCCACATCCAAACTTGACAGGAAGTGTTCTGTACTCTGACCTCGACTACCACCGTGTGAGCTCTACAACAAGTGCCAGCCATTTGTAATTTTGACCTGTTATTTACAAAGTCCTGCCAGACTACACAGCAGGGTTGGCGACCTCATGTATCTCTATTGCACTTAAAGTGACATTAAAGTCAAAAGGTTTTTAAGCCATTTTAAATCCCAATGAAAATCACTTACAATGGACATTGCTCCTTGATGTTGAAAAGTTTTATTTTTCTGCAGAATCAGCTGGTCCCCTGAGCACTGGTCCTGATATCCTGTATTAGGGTGACTCCTTTCCCTTGCAGGGTCCTATGGAGCCATAATCTTCTGTGTGCTAGTAAGCTGTGTGTCTCCACAAACACAGCAAGGCAAACCACTTGCTTCCCTCTCCTTCGAGCTCGTAGATGGACATTTGCTGGAGACTGTTATGCAAATACTGATCCCGTACTGGACAGGATGTTGAGGGAAGCAAAACAGAGAGTTGGAGCTGTTTTGAAACTCGATGACTGCAAGTGTTTGGGCAAAAATATAGACAAATAATGTGCTGGGCAATGTAGATTTGTTTGATCTGGAATTCATGCTGAAAACATTTTCAGAGTTTAATACCACTTAAAGCAATATGCCCTGGACACCTTCTTGCCCCCCAGCCTGCTAAAGAACAAAGAAAGAGCAGGAGAATACAGATGAGTCAGCTCCCTGTTCTCTACGCCTGTCAGCATGCTCCCGGTCACTGCATGAGCATACAGCACACCTGATTGGCTCCTAGTACTACCCCTCCCTCTCCTTTGTTGCATGCTGCTGCTTAGATTACCAAAAGAGGTTGATGCCAAGTCAAATTCATATGCTACCACTAATTGAGGTTTCAATGACTACATGCTAGATTTAAGGGAGGTGCAATTCCAAGCTTAACAATCAAGAAAGGTAGTATAGATAGTATAGATTGTACAGTGCGATCTTTCAATAAACAAGTGTAATAGGTTGATGTAGCCAGTAAAATTGATCTTTAGAATTGGAATGCAATGCGTTCTCTCCCTGCAGTTCATGCACCTTATATCAGAAAACAAGAAGGCATTCGTGCAGATGTATTCGGGACCGACATAACCTGATGAAACGCATGCATGCTCTCATTTTACACCACACGCTTTGTTTACCTTCTCTGACATATGCCTGGCATGATACTATAAGCAAGCACATTTTTATTAATCCTTGCAAT